GCCCTCTGGGCCCTCCCTCCCCGCCCCGACTTCGCCCAGGTCTGGAGCTTCGCCGCCGCCGCCGCCGCCGCTCAGCCTGAGCTCGTCTCCGTCTCGCCGCCAGCCTCCATGTTTCACCATCAACACCTCCAGCAGCAACAAGCCGCCATGGGAGAGGCTTCCGCCGCCAGGCTCGGGAATTACCTTCCCGGCCACCTCAATTTGCTCGCCTCCTTGTCCGGCGGCCACGGGAACTCCGGCCGGCGAGACGACGAGCCTCGTTGAATTCGAATGCTGAGTTAACTCTGATCCATTCGGTGCTGCTCTGAATAATTCGTATATATAATTATATGTATTATGTGAGTGTGGGTTTTGTTCTGTGGCTAATGGCTATCCCTTTGTTGTTGTGTGTGGACTCTCGACTCTCCACTGTGGAGAAGCAGAAGATTTTTATTTCTTAGTCAAATTTTAGGGTTAGGTTTTTTCTTTTTGCTAGTTTTGAGTGGACAAGTCCATGAATTAAGGAATTCAATTGGATTAGGGTTTTCCTGGTTTGGAAAACTGATTTAGGTTGTTAGGAGATGATGAATTTATTTAGATAATTGGGAGAGAGTATGATGATTATGATGAGATGAATAACTAGGGATTGAGGCCTGGAAGTGGTTTTCAGGACCTTGATCGATCGGTATGCAATTGCAGATGCAAATGCAGATGCAACTGTAATCAAATCAACATTAATTGAATCATGTTATTGTGGAAAATGTCCAATCAAGGTTATGCTTCTTGTTGCTTCTGTTTCACTTTTACAAACTTGACTCACTTTCACTTTCCTACTTAAAAAGTGATTAGTGTTATTCGTAGCGTTAGGTTCAGTGATTGTGTGTTTGCCAAATCACAATCAAGTGTTACTCCCGTTTTCTTGGAGTAATTGACCTTCTTTCAAACATTCATTTTATGTTATTGGGTATCATTGAGGGACTTGTTAGTTGCTCTCTCCTTCACTTTGTTTTTTCAGGGAAAGAAACAGCCTCGTTCTGCAATGTAAGACCTCTGTTTCGAGATTTTTATCTGAAATTCTTAGCCATTTCTTAGATTGATCAGCGTGACAATAATGTGTTTTCTAGTATATAACTGGATTGAATAAAAGATCCATCTGTTTATTTCTCTATATCTTGCTATTCTTGCCATTATATTTGTTTTTTTCCTGTGTATATGTCATGATTATGATCTCATTCTGCTGCTAGTAAGCATTTGAATTTTCAAATTGAATGGTTTGCTTGTTGCACCTTGCTTTCTCCTCTTTAATACTGCGTACTATTGATTTGATAGGTTTTTGAACATTTGCTCAAGGTAGCTTGCTAAACCACAATTTATTTGGTTTTTTGTTTAGCTGTCACGACCAAGGTACTCTCTCCCTCGGAGCTTGTAGTATTTAAAGAAAGATAAGGTTAGGTACATCCGTGTTCAAATTTTATAATATAATCTACGTAACTAAGAAGATCTATCTAACCTACGTGGTATGGTTACTATTTTTGATGTTTCATATCAATATCATACTTGGTTAAAATAAATCGTATGTAGTGGTGCATCTGATTCAACATAGTCAATTTGGGTCTTCGAGGTGGTATTAGACAAATGTTGTATCTTATTAATGACTTATTTAAACTGGTCGCTATGTCATTGGCTTTTGTTGCCTCTCCCTTTGAAACAACCATGTGCCCTGGCCCCCCCAATCCCCATTCTCTCTCCATCTTATCCTCTCAAGCAGAGCACACACTATGCTGAATAGCTAAGTTGTGCAAAGAAGGATCAACTGAATCATTGATATTCTTACTAACATAAACATAAACAGTTGGTGGATTATATTTCAATATTCCCCCCATTAGGGTTTCACTTGCAAGATGCCTCGCATGCTTAAGGCATGACTTAAGGGAAATAGGAGAAAGATGATTGGTTTGATGATGTCTAGTCTTGGCAACAAAATCAAATGTATAATTGTGTTCATGAAAGAATTTCTTTTCCAATAGAAAGCTTCAGGGAGTATGATAGTTTTCTTGGCCCAGCTGAGCTGTTAATATTTGATTTGTTACCCCATGGTGGTGTGTGGAAGGGAAACCGGAAGGAAGGATGATGAGTAACCAACCCATCTTTTTTTTTTTTTTTTTTTTTTAAATTTAATTTTTATTTAATTTTATTAATTTTTATTAATTTTGTACTTTTCTGCAGATGGGTTATTGGTGGGGTATTTAAATTTGCGATGCTGACAGGTTTTTAAATTATTGCTTAGCACAATACAGAAGGGTCAGGTTCCAATAATTGATGGGTCCCTGAAATTACACCTTACACGACGTAGTTAGAAACATATTATGATTTGGGCTATATGTAAATTTAAAAGTTCAAAATCGTTTAGAATGATAATCAATGGGTATTAGGTAGGGGAATTTCAATAACAGTCTAAGGATAATTATATATAAATTAATAAACATATCTAACTTATTAAAAATTACGATAAGCATGTCTTGTCACTGTTAAATTATTTGTTTTAATAATTTTTTTCTTTAATCTGTCTTTAATTCCATACCATTATATAAAAGGAATATATGTTTCGTTAACAGCTTTTTAATCTTGATTTCTTTTTACAATAATACTCTTGATTAATAATTTTATGTATAATAGTTAATTTTCAACTGTATCTCATGCACTCCAATCTTAAAACTATTAAACTAGAATAGATAATCACTATCTATTTTTATTATTTCTATTTTTTAAAATGAAATACGTAGACATACAGAGTGTCTATTTCACTATAATGAGATAAAAACCTGATATGATAAAACACTTTTATTTATTTACTTTTTTTTAATTAATATTAAAGTTGAAGGATAGATGTGTTTTTATGTATCTACTTTAGAATAATTTGTTTTCTAAATAGAAGTTGTTGAGGTCCAAGTTTGTCCGTCGTATCCAAAATTGCACCTAAACAATGTTGGTTTTTGATGATACATTGATACTTCTTATCACTAGGCATGACAACAGGGTGAGTCGGATACGGATTTTATAATATTTGTCTTTGTTCTCATGGTTTAAACTCATCTCCATCCTTGTTCTTGTACTCGTTAGATATATAATTATTGTTTTATTTCCATTTTTGTTAAGTATCGGGTATATCTGTACCATCCGTCAAAAATTAATTATTATTTTTTTTAAAAACAATATTTTTAATTTATCTTTTCATTATATTGTAATTATAATTGAGTTGTTTGTCTATTTCATATTTTAATCAAGAGACTTTTTAATAATTAAAAAATCACAAATATTTCACATCATAATAAGTAGTTACACAAATTAAATATTAAAATTCTTTAAAAAATTCAAATCGAGGATGGGTATTAAATTGGGCATGGGGATGGGGACGAGGACGAGTATTAAACTGGGAATGGGAACATGGACATGACGGGTAAGTATATACCTGTTCACATCTCCGATTTAATATTTCGAGTTTTATTTGTACTCGTACCCAAATCGTGTATTCTCCATCAAAGTCGGGATGAGTTTGGATATTATCCATGAATACGAGTTTATTTGTCATTCCTACATATTAGAGAGAGAACACTAAAATTTAAATAAATTAAAAAGTTTTGGATAGACCATCTCAAGGATAGAAGGTAATTGTGGCACACCACAAAATTTTTTTTTTCTCATATAAATTAACGGGAAAATGCTTGATAGTACACACTATTATAGGAAGGCTGCTATAAGGGTAAACCGCCTTTCATTTTTGTCGAAGGTCTTATTTATTTATTTATTTATTAATTTATCATTTGTATAGTATTGCATAAACCACGGCTAGTTCTGATAATTCATGTCTTAGACAAAATAATAAATTAACACCTCTTAACTATAAGTATTAAAATATAAAAATATATTTTTATAAAAAATAGACACATAATTTTATTAAAAAATTATACATCTTATTATATTAAATAAATGATATAATTTTAAAGAAGGGTGTATACTAATAGTACGTAGTACACTTTCTTTATTCTTAAAACAGTTTCTTAAGTATCAACCACAAGATTTATTAAGTGTAGTTTTCATTTTTCTTATACATCTTAGATAATTAATTTTTTTTATTTCAAAATATTTTTTTATATATTATTTTGTCACGTAAAGTATGTGTAATAATGTAATTTTAGGTGGGAAATTAAAATTCTTGTACTTTCAACTCATATGATGGAGAGGAATTTATTTATTGCAAGAGTAACTTGTGATAAATTTACTTTACTCAATAACTCATAGTTTAAGTTGAATTTTAACGGTTTAACATTTGAATTAAAGGTTCTTAATAAATAAATAAATCAATCAAATTTATAAATTTTTACAAAGTTTGAAAACTATTTGATATTTTGTTACATAAATTTAGTTTAATGTATAATATGCTTTTGTGAATAACCTTCAATTTGAATCTATATACGAAATATCAAATAGTTTTTAAATTTTGTAGACCATAGTTTTAAAATTCAAACAAGTCATCAAATTAGTTTGGGTACTGGGTCAGTGAGTCAAAGGTTGAATCGGTGGGTCACTAATTGAACTACATGATCCGATTTCTAGTATTTTTTTTTAAAAAAATATTCATGTTAAATATATTTTATACTTATAAATTTCAATATAGTATCTTAAATTTTGATTTTCATCTTATTTAAAATTATCTTTATTTTTATTTTGTATAAAAAAATGCATGAAAAAGTTGTATGTTAAATTGTATATTAATATGAATTTAAAACATAAATAATATATATATATATATATATATATATATATTATTAAATACATTAGCACAAGTGGTTATTATAATGTTTGATAATAAGACTCTTCACTCCCCTATATGGTTTGATTCCCATGTAACGCTTTCTTTTAAATTTCATTTTAAAAATGATGAAAAATATTTTTGTAATTGAACCGGTTTGACCCTCGGTTCACTAGTTGAACCAGAAAATTGACCGGTTCAATCTAATTTGTACCGGGTCAAATGCACAACTAATCCAACATAAGGGTTAGACCACCAGTTCCTGACCGGTCCAAGACGATTTTTAAAACTTTGTTGTATACTTTATCTATTCATTAAAAAATTTTAATCTAATAGTTAGATCGTTAAAATTCAAATTAAACTATGTTGAACCAAAGCCAAATGAGAACATCTAACACAACATTTTTTATGATAACAAAGTCATAATCTTGATAGACTAATGGTTTATTCAAGTAATTGTAAGAAACATAAGGCCAAAGCATAGAATAAATGAAGACAAAATTTTTTTTATATTAAATAACCTATCTTCTATCAAGTGTGTAAAATTAACAAGTATAACACTAGTAACTATCATCTAGTCAGCACTAGCATCCAATGTCCAATGCGTTAGACTATCTTTAATATCTCATAGTGAACACAAGTTTGATGCTTGTTTGAATGTCTTCGTGCTTAAAACAAGCCTTATAAACATTAAAAAAAATAGTCATTGATAAGCATTATGTTAATCTATGTTAGTTATAAATGTTTGTATTCTTTATTTTATCTTTTATGTATGCGTGCAACAAGGTATATTAAAGCAGTTCCAACGTAGTGTCTAGAAAAGAAAAGTCAGTCGCAAAAGGAATGTTTCAGTCTTTATAGTAAAGAGTTCATCAAAGTCAGATTTGCTTCATGCCTTATTTTAGTTGAAGTCTTTAATGCTCTGAACAACATAATTCATGGATCAAACAATCACATTCAACAATGCATTTATCACAAGTTAG